GTGGAGTGGACTCGCCTATGGTTGGTGCCGCCGTGCTTGATGAACCACCAGAACCCCCACTAACGTCGACATCGCCGGCGGATGGCGCGCTTCTAGCATCCGCACTGCTTCCCTCCCCACTTTGGTCTTCACTCACCCGTGGCCGCTTTGATGATGGCTGGGCTTGCGGGTGCCGGGAAAGCATCCTTGCGAACGCGGCCGCCTGGTTCTTCTGCTGCGCAGCTATCCTCTCCTCTCCGCATTTGTCTTCCGACCCGCTTTTTGTGCGCCATCCTCAGGTTTTGACCCTGGATTTCGCCCCATGGGGAGCGCTGGCTCCACGGTTGCTGTGGGAGGGCTGTTGTGCTTTCCGTTGTGGTCTGTGTTGGGTGTTGTCATCATGTGTTGTCATGTGTCTCGGCGGCAGCGGCCCAATTCGGGTGCTTTGGTCCAATCACAGGTCGTCGTTTTTCATGGTCTCGGGGTCGTTTTTCATCTCGGGATGTGCTGTTGACCAATAAAATTGCGTCGTTTTTCACTTTTGTTGCCCTGCCTATGGGCCCTGTGCCTGCTCCTTACCGTGGTCGTCATTGGCGGAGCCCCCGAAGAGTTTCTGTCACGGAACCCCTAGAGTGCCTCCTGTGGTCACCGTCACCATCGCCGACTCACACCCAAGTTCTTCTGTCTTTGCTGCAGGCGTGACGGCACTCAGCTATCTCAAGCCCTCTCCCTCCCCTTCGAGAAACCGTGGCATTTGGAGACGGCAAAGTGCACGCGGTGGTAGACACCCTAAAGGTTTTGGTTTATTTCGAACTCCGGACACCCAACCAAAACCCGACGCCTCGCTTCACGAGAAAAGAGGTGTATGATCTTCAAAGGTATCCACCATCTGTGCCCAAGTCAGGTCGTCCTCTTGCCTACGGCCAGCCTATGCCCGAGGCCCGCCCGAACGCCTTTTCACACCCGTGGTTTTTCGCTACCGGTGAGCTATGTTTCGTGCGATTGTGGGAGAGGTTGTTTATTTCCATGCCAAATCGGTGCTGAGTTCGTTGTGTTTGTCCCTCTCAGCAACAACGAGCGGCAGCAGCTTAGTGCACACCGCACGCACCGTTCTTGGTGGCCACAATGTAGCCACGCCGCGTCGCGCCGCGAGTGTTTTTTTGGCACGAACGGTACTACAGCAGCAACAGCAGCAGCCCATGGTGTGATGGACACGTGGGGGTTCGTGATGTTGGTATGGTTGGCGCAACGCGCCACGCGAAGTACTCCCTCTACCACGTGTTTTCGTGCTCAGCTCTGCCGCTGGTTGTTGCCCTTTTCCCCTGAAGTTTGCCCTCGGCGCGAACGATAAGCCAACTCGACCCAGAACCAAGTCGCGCGTTGCCACCGGCACCTTAGAGATACCGCGGAAACGGCAGTGCCTGCAAAGACGGCATGGAATGTGTCGTCGGTTTTGACGCACGATTGCTGGTCACGTTGAAGTTTAAAGAAAGGACGGAGGAGCAACACGCGGCAGGCAGCCGTGGGCATGGTTTCGCATTTTTTTCTGGAATTTGGTGTTCGACCCACCGCCGCTCCGGATTGAAGTAGTAGCTTCGCTACAGCAGCAGCACCGCTATGTAGTGCGGCCATGTCAGCAAAAAAAAAGACAAAAGGTTAATACCCCACCCAGCACCGAATCACTCATCACGAGAAACAGCGCACAAAGTGTACCTTGGCGGAGTCCCCATGCAACTGTTTTTTCCCCGCCTGCACTGCTGCTGTCACTACATCGAAATGCTCCTGCATGCGTGGTCGACGTCATGTGCGCCGCTCGTGGCCTCACATACATACCTCTGTGAACAAACCACGCGCTGCTCAGGATGCAGAAGAGGTTGTGAAGGGGTGCTCGGACTGCCGACATGCTTGGCTGGGCCTTGCGTGGTTGACAGCATGCTATTGTCCCCTCGTCCACAAAGCGGTGCGGCGGTGTAGGCACGGTTAGCGCGTGCGGTTTTTCTTCCTTACTCTCCATATGTACCACCACGCTGTAATCACGAGCTTAGTGGAGGGAGGGATATGCATGGCTGTTGCTCTTGTTGACGTTCTAATACTTCTAGAACTCCCAGAAACGCGAGCGTCAGGCCGAGCAATGTGCCTGCTGGTCGTGTGCAGTGCAATAAGCATATCACCCGTTTCCGGCACAATTGAACAGAACCGATCTACGATTTTGAGTTGGCGCAATTTTCGCGCGCGTCGTCTCCGACACCACGAAAGAGACGATTGAAAAGATGTCACGATGGCGCGTTCTGCAAATTTTGGCCCTTTGCCCTTTGCCGAAGGCTGGTCTTTTCGCTGTGCAGCTCTGCTGCGCATCTGAAAGGAACACAGCAGCGGCGTGTGTGCGGCGGGCGCGTCTTGTTCGTTGCTTCAAAACCCACCCTCAAAGGTTGTGTAACCTGAAACTTGAGGCCGATTTCGTGGCCCCCACAGCAGTGTCGGTGTTTGCCGCAGCAGCGTGCAACAATCAAGAGCGGCAGTGCGACTGTCTCCTTGCATGTGTGTTCCCATGCTTACCCACGTCTGGTTTGGTCTCTTCTTCTGCCTCCCTTCCTCCCACCCTCCCTTGCGCGTAAATGTGTCGTGTCTGTGCACGCATCCATGCAGCCACAAAATAAGCGAACCAAGCACTCGAACACCTGGATAGCAGAAGCGACGCGCGGAGGGCGGTTGGATAGGAAGCTTGACCACCATCATGTCGGGAAACATCAACATTTCGGGCACGGAGCCCATCGATGACCCAGAGTACAGGCGAGTTTTGTCTTGAAAGGCATCTGACTACTGCTGTACCTTCAATTCTCTTCGTTGTGATGTCCTCACGGCCTCTTTGATTTCATTTATAGGGTCGTCTTGCCGGAAGTTGCTGCCGTATTGTAAAGTTCGGGTTTCCTCGTTGCGACGGCCTGTTGGGCGTAACGAACAGCAGTATTCTACCATTGACCGTCTTTTCTGCCTCCTGCAAGGACGTGACGGACTTCGCAGCAAAGCCTCTTCGGAGGGTGGGGAGAGGTGGATGCAAGTTGGCTGGCAGAATACCACAGACCACTTCCGGGCAAAAAATATCTCGTGCCTTCACGGTCATTGCATAACACACGCGCCCCGCACGATTCTCGTCTCTGGCGAAAGGATAACTACTTTGTCGCCATCTTCAGGGGGGTGCACAGCAGCAATCAGATATGTAGTCAAATTATCATAACCCCCCCCGGCACAGGTACAAGATGCCTCGCGTTATTGGAAAGGTCGAGGGACGGGGCAACGGCATCAAGACCGTCATCTTCAACGTGATGGATCTGTCCCTCGCTCTCAAGCGCGACCCGGGAGAGGTGTGCAAGTTCTTCGGCACAGAGCTGGGCGCGCAGGCAAGAAGAGCCCGAGACTTTCGGGTACACCCTCGGTTGCACAAAGCTAGGAGATTGGAAGGCGGGGACGTGATCCGAGCGTTGTCTATTCCATGTTGTGCCTTTCGATGGTCTCGGGCTGCCCAGCCTTGATGAGTAGCCTCTCCCGAATCTTTGTTAAGCTTTGGACTCCCTTCCACACACCGGCAACAAGACGGCTGTACTCTCTCGCAAAATAACACGCCAGTTGTCTAGGGCAACGAAATCGTATGCCAGCTTTCTCGTCTCAACCCCTCCCCCCCCCCCC